GCTTGCAGTACCCAAGGGGGGCAGAGGTGCAGGAACCAGATAAGGCACCACCTCAGGGGTCCCACCTTCATTTGTGAAGCAAGTCTGGGTCGCAAAGCTGACCTGGAGGCAGATCTTGCTTCTAATTCCTCTTGAGCCGAGGCTTCTGAGGATTTCAGGCTAGTCACTGCCCCTCCTGGCCCTCAGTTTCCCTAGCTGTAAGACAGCAAACTGAATCCTGCTTTTCTAAGTAGGGTTTCACTGGAACACAGCCACGCCCTTTTGTTTCTGTTTCTGTATCTGTCTGTGGAGTCCCTCCTGCTACTACTTCGTCAGACAGGCTTGAGTAGCTGCAACAGGGGCCTTTATGTCTCCCAACGGAAAAGATTTACTGTCTGGACCTTTACAGAAAAAGTCTGCAGACCTGTTTCTAAAGTGTTAATGTTCTCCTAGGCTTAGCGGAATGAAATGTTGTGGCTCCAATCTGACTAGAACAGCTCACAGCAAGCTGGTCCTGGTTCCCACTTGCAGACACCATGTCCTCTTCCAAAACCCCTGGCCTGGATTTGGATAGTGGTGGTGGGGTGGGGTAGATCTGGGAGTCGCCGCGTGGTACAATGGCGCCACCTGCTGTGAGTGCCTAAAAGCACCTCTACCCCACCTGGCAGCCCCTCTCCCCACAGGGGGGGCCTGCTGCAGTAGCAGGCCAAGCCTCAGAACCAGAGCACATCAGAGCGGGGCTCTCGCCCCCTCCTCCATTTTATAAAGACTGTGGTCAAGAAGGGACAGCATGACTTGTCCAAGGCAGGTGAGCAGAAGGCCCAGGTCTCCAAGGCCCATAAACCTTTCCATCCATGTTCTGCAAATATACATGTAGACACACAGACCTGGCTAGCATCTATCCACCCACCCATCCATCATCCATCATCCATCTACCATTCATCCATCATCCAACCATCCACTCATTCATATTTATTGAACACCAATAGTGTACATTTCTGATGATGATGTTTTGAAATTTTGAACAAGTCTGGCTTTCCCTAGAGCAACAGTTCTTAGGCTTTGGGGATAAAGAAAAATGCACATGTGCATATACATGTCAGATGCTGCTTTCCTCCCTCAGGGGCCCCTGAGGGGTCATCCATGAAGCCAGGCTGTGGATCTTGGGTATGGTGGGTTGCTCAGACCACCCCCTGGAATGAAAGCCTGAGCCCCCAGCTGCTGGGAGCATGGCCGGGAGACAGTGCTCAGCCATCATCCTTCTTTGAAGATTGACTTGATTCAAAGAAAATGCCTCACCCCTGCCTCATGCTTCCTTCCAGCGTTATGCCCACTTCCAATGACAGATTGAGGCAATGGCCGAGACCTTGCCCCCCAACTCGGGACAAGTCTGATGGCTCATCCCAGCTCTAGAGCTCCCCATGGGTTTGGCTGAAGTCTTTGTTGGGATTGCCTCACAGCTCAACTTCTCCCTCTGCCAAAACCTATGTCCTTTGCCTGCCTTCCACGGGTGTTTTTCCCAAGACCACTTCTAAACAACTTTCTTTGTTCCAATCTCCATCCGAGTCTAATTCTCAGGGAACCCACGGGATTAAAAAGCCTTCAAAAGTTCCTTGAGAACATCAACTCTCTTACTGACTTCTCTACTTCTACCAGCTCCCATGGGCAGGGCACATTGAAGGTGCTTCAGAAATATTTATTGAATGCATTTGAATGCCTTTTTTCCTGGTTCTTTATTCTGTCCCTCTTGTCCCAGCAGAATTCTTGAGACATCCAGGAGAGAGACAGCCCTACCAGCAGGATGTCAGCGGGACGATTTCTGGGAAATGTACAAGTTGCCAACAAAACTATAACTAACTAGGGGAACAGAAGTCAAGCTAACTGGTCACTACTAAGGAGGGGCAAAGGGGCTTAAGTGATGTTAGAGCTGTGTGCTTAGAGCAAAGGCTCAAGGGGGTGACTGGGAGACTGGAGGCTGGCAGTAATGGGCGGTGGTGGTGATGGTGGAACAGCCTTTTCCTACAGGGCAAATCATTTAAAGTTCAACAGGTCCCAGAACCTAGAACATCTTCACTTGAGTTTCCATTACTGGAAATTCCTTCCCATGACAAATATCTATTCTCTCTACTGTGTCAGGTAACAGAGCAAGGATGGGGGGGGCCAGGGCTCCTCCTCTGACTTTGTCACTCCGGAAAGTTATATCCTCATGCTGTTATTTCCTGAATGGTAATTACTATGTGCCCAGCAGTGTGCTGCTTCACATACACAATTTTACTTCATTCTCACAATAGGTTCATTAGGAGATATGTATTATTATTCCTTCTTTATAGACAAGGAAACAGGCTCAGAGACCAGTAACTTGCCTAAGACACAGAGCCCATCATAGGGCCAAAAGGAGATCCTAGTCCATGTCTGCTGGGGCTGGCTGGGTTCTTAGCTACTTACATGCGCAACCTCTGTTTGTTTCCACATCTGTGAAAGAGCTACCATCAATTCCTACTGCACTGGGTTGTTAGGGATTAAACAACCTATATGAGAGGCCTAGAGGGTGCCTAGTGAATGTCCACTCTGTTTTCCTTGGCATTCTTTTGTCCCCTGCTTACCTCCTCCCTGGGCTGGAAGGACTGTCCCATTTGCCATCTCTGCAAGGACCAACATTTCTATCCCAAGTCCAGCACAATGTCTGGCAGGCAGCCAGCACTCACCGAACACTTTTGACCCAAATGGACGATCTGAGAGGGCCCTCAGGTGTTTGGACCGTAAATTGGGGACCTGAACAGTCCATCATCAGTCTGTGATGCAGAAAGACCACTCTCTTGGTGCCATGTAACACTACTCTCAAGCCACTCAGATTTTCAGTTTTTTCTCAGCAGAATGGAACACAGATGAAAGTGGCCTCCTGAGCCCCCAAGGTAGAGCAAGGTCCCAGAATGGAGATGAAGGTACTCAGGCCCTCCCAGGCTTCTCCTGTCCCTTCCACAGGTAAACTGCAGCTCATTCACATCCCCACCATGGCCCCAGCTGCAGACATCCTTGTATATTAGGCATTAACCTCCCTTCCACCATAGGCTCCAGAGAGAGGCGGTGGGCATGTAAGCACTTTAAACTAGAACCTACAGGGAACCTCCTTCCCTCCTCTACAGAAGGCCCGGAGCTGGAGGCTCTGTGGTGACAGAAGCCACAGCTTTGGAGAGACAGGTCACATCGTCAGCTTCCTTCAACCTGTGCAAGCACCAAGTTGCCATGGTGATGCTGCAGCCCTGAGATGCACTGGCTGCAGATGGCATGGGTGCTCCTAGGGCTCAATGCCCAGGATGGGAGCTGTCTGGTCTGGGAGGTCAGTTGACTGGGTGGGCGGGTGGAGGAGAGGCAGCCCTCCTCTAGGTTGGGCTGGTAATTGCCGCTAAGTGAGGTGCTGACATTGAACCCAACATGCTAGCGGTGAGGGCCTGCTCTGCACCCTGTAATTACTGCACCAGACAGCAGCATTTGCTCCCTGCCCAGAGAGAGGAACACGGTGCGGGGAGCAGGCAGGAAGCTCTCGACCACCTGAGCCAGTGGGGCTCTGGCAGGCTCTCCCAGCTGCCCAGCCTGTCTGGCAGAGGCAGGGAGGCCCCAGCCCCTCCTTTCTGTTGCCTCTCCCCATGCCATCCAATGTGGAACATGAGCTTTCTTTAATCCTGGCCCCTGAGCTTGCAGTACCCAAGGGGGGCAGAGGTGCAGGAACCAGATAAGGCACCACCTCAGGGGTCCCACCTTCATTTGTGAAGCAAGTCTGGGTCGCAAAGCTGACCTGGAGGCAGATCTTGCTTCTAATTCCTCTTGAGCCGAGGCTTCTGAGGATTTCAGGCTAGTCACTGCCCCTCCTGGCCCTCAGTTTCCCTAGCTGTAAGACAGCAAACTGAATCCTGCTTTTCTAAGTAGGGTTTCACTGGAACACAGCCACGCCCTTTTGTTTCTGTTTCTGTATCTGTCTGTGGAGTCCCTCCTGCTACTACTTCGTCAGACAGGCTTGAGTAGCTGCAACAGGGGCCTTTATGTCTCCCAACGGAAAAGATTTACTGTCTGGACCTTTACAGAAAAAGTCTGCAGACCTGTTTCTAAAGTGTTAATGTTCTCCTAGGCTTAGCGGAATGAAATGTTGTGGCTCCAATCTGACTAGAACAGCTCACAGCAAGCTGGTCCTGGTTCCCACTTGCAGACACCATGTCCTCTTCCAAAACCCCTGGCCTGGATTTGGATAGTGGTGGTGGGGTGGGGTAGATCTGGGAGTCGCCGCGTGGTACAATGGCGCCACCTGCTGTGAGTGCCTAAAAGCACCTCTACCCCACCTGGCAGCCCCTCTCCCCACAGGGGGGGCCTGCTGCAGTAGCAGGCCAAGCCTCAGAACCAGAGCACATCAGAGCGGGGCTCTCGCCCCCTCCTCCATTTTATAAAGACTGTGGTCAAGAAGGGACAGCATGACTTGTCCAAGGCAGGTGAGCAGAAGGCCCAGGTCTCCAAGGCCCATAAACCTTTCCATCCATGTTCTGCAAATATACATGTAGACACACAGACCTGGCTGTGAATCCTAGCTCAGCCACTCATTTAAGGTCTTGGTTCCATGGTTGAAAGGATTTTCAAAATAAACACTTATAGAACATATGTAATCTGTTACCAGTATTGACTTAATCTTCAGAACAACTCTGAGATAATTATTTCCCCATTTCACATGAAAAAACTGGTACAGAAAAGTTAAGTAATTTGCTTAGGGTTACATAGCTAGTGTGAGTCAGGATTCAAATCCAGGCTGTGAAAGCATTGATGTCCAGAATATGGTACTCAGTACATACTGATTTTTTTCCTGCCCACAGGTGTAATGGGGCCCCCAAGAGAGAACACTGGGCTCAAACAGGAGCACAAGAGATGTGGGAGACCTGCAGTATGACCAGTCATCTGAAGAAGGCCCCAGGCAGGAGAGGGGAGAGGCCAGGCCTGCACTACCCCCTCCCTGCCCCAACACCTCCAGGCAACATGAGGTGGCCAGTGGACCATAAAACCTTTATTTCCAAACTACAAATGTATCTGCTGTCTGAGAAAAGACACTCTCCAGGTGATGAGGCCTCAGCCTCTTCATCTCTCTTTCCCAATTGCACTGCAGTCCAAATCCAGTCCCCTTAGAAACCTGTTACTCCTCTGAAATCACAATCTTGGCTATCAGAGGCTGGCAAGCATGCGAGAACAGCCCACTCCCTCTGCCCGCTGACTCGGGCACAGCTTAGGCCCTGCTCCAGCCAGCTCTGGGGCTGGCCTGGTGCTCACCCTTGTCTGACCAGCTCCCTGCCCTAGCTCCACCCTGTGGTCAGGCCCTGTCCCTGGCTCAGCCCAGGAGACTCCTGGCCCACTGCTCCCCAGCTGCTGTGAGAGGTCACCCAGGTCCCCAAGCTGCCATCAGGTGTGAGGGCTGGGGAGTGGTCTGCTTCCAAGCCGGCCTCCTGGCTGGTCACTGCTGCCCCTGGGCCACAAAGTACTCCTCCTCCTCCTCCTCATTGCCACCTTCTTCCGGCTGGCTACTCCGGAGCAGCAGCTCCAGGTCGGGGTTGGAGCCCAGTCCCTTCAAGGGTTTAGGGCTGCCATCACCTGGGGATAAAGAGACCAGTTACAGACCCACTGATGGTTTTTTTTTTGTGCCCTGATGAGAGTGTGTGCTGAGTATGCAGGCCCCCACCCCTTGCTCCCTGGAGATGAAGCCACCTTCTTTAATTAGAAGAACAGCCAACACAGAGGTGGCTGAACTGGGCAAACAGCCACCAGGCTGGAACTGCTTTGGGGAAGTTGAGCGCCACCTGCATCTTCCTGGCAGGGCTGGGCTGAGGGGAAATCAGAGGGGCTAAGAGTCATGGGGAGAATGTCATCAGCAAACAGGCTTCCAGGAGGGGTTCCAGGTTACCTCTGGAGTGCAGGGCTTTGAGGGCAACGTGCAGGGATATTCCCGAGAGGCAGAGGGCGAAGCCCAGCCAGTTCAGGAGGCTGATCTGATCACCCAGCAGATGAGCTGCCAACAGCAAAGTGCAGACTTCCTGTGGGCAGAGGAGCAGGGAGGGGTGAGCAGGAGGAGGGAGTTGGAAGGGCGGTGTACTGGACACACCCAGGGGGTACAGCCAAACATGCCCAAATGCCTAGGCCTGGGCAGCCTGGCCTGCAGGGCTGAGCTCAGAGGACCAGCCTGCCTGTAACACTTTTCTCCCTTTGTGTTACTGAGATGCAATAGATGCTTTTTGCAGAATTTTGTCAGGATCAGACAGGCAAACCCAACAGGTTTGGGAGCCTCTGGGCACCCAGCCCACATGAATGAAGGACAGCAGCCCTTCTAGAAGGTGTCTCTGGAAGGAGAGCCCTCAGTTGCCATGGAGAATGCAGCATCCACTGGGCTCTACAGGACACACACTGGTCACAGGCTCACTGTACACGGGGGCTGCACGTGAGACCAGTGAGACAATTCACTCTGAGAACCAGAGCTTATGCCTCATTACTTGGTTGGCAACAAGAGGACCCCTGGTGAGACCTTCGCTTCTGGTTTTAGGCACCAGTAGCAGTGTCAGGTGGTTAGAGAGAACACTCCCACCACGGCCCTGAGCAGGAAGGAGGCGGATGGTGTAGGTGGAGGAGCGGCGGGAGGACAGGACAAGAGTGCTGCTGGGCGGCAGCAAGGGCAGGTGGGCAAACACAGGGCACTCACGTTGGACCATCCCAGGCTGTTCCCACTGGAGAACAGACACTGCTCATCAACCACGCAACTCTTTACCGAGGAGTCTATGTGGGGGTTTCTCAACCTGTGGCCCCAGGGAACTGCCAAATGATCAGAGTTGGCATCTGTGGTAGAATGTAAATGTGTTCCAGGACTAGTGGAGTCAGACCTGGCTTTGCATCCCAATCGGGCCACCTCCTAGCTGCGTATCCTGGGGTAGGAGCAGCTTTTTATGTCGGTTTCCTGATCTGTGAACAGGGACGACCATTCCCACCTCCAGGGCAGCAGTAATGAGGGGAAGAAATACAGACAAAAGTGTGGTACTCAGCCCCCTAACTAGGTACTTCCATCTCTCTTCTGCTGGGCCCCGGGGTGGAGGAGCTGGGACAGAAGCTGCCGCTGAGAATTACCCTTAGGGGCCTCCCCTGAGACAGGCCTGGCTTCACCTCTGAGTCCGTACCTTAAAAATGCCGGCAATGGAGAGAGTGAGGCTGGAGGTTCTAGAGACCAGGAGGAACTCAGAGAAGCCCAAACCAAAGGCGAGAATCCCGCCAAGGAAGAGGCTCCCAAGCACTCGCAGGAGTAGCCCTGTGTCCTGGAAACGGAAGATTTTCTCAGATGTAGACAAATGGAGACCTGAAAGCAAGGGGGGAGAGAGCGGGAGGCCATGGCCTTGGTGTGCCTGCCAAGGGGCCACGGAGCAGCCGTGCGCACTCACGAGCACCTGCTGTGGGTTGGAGGAGAAGGATGGGAGGTGCTGGAGAACCCCATGCAGACAGCCTGAGACTGGGGGGGAAGCGGTGATGGGTGCCCGAGGGCCCTGGGCCAGCGAGAGCCAGAGATCTCACGGGGAGCACAGCGGGGGGCTTCTGAGCCTCGGGGCTGTGGAGGAAACCTGCGGAAGCACCTGCTCCTCCAGTGTTTACTGACCATCTCCAGGGAGGAGCAGCAGTGGACAGCAGCTTCACTGGCTTTTGCGGCTGTGGTAACTAGCAGGCCAAAGAGAGAGGGTCTGCCAATCAAGTGGACTGTCAACACCCTGGGCCACTAGAGAAGTCCCTTGTTCTAAATTTCAAGTGGGCCACCTATAAGCTGGGACAAAACTCCATCCTTACAAGCATTCTCCATTTTAATACAGGTCTTGTTATTTCACAGCTATGGGACTTGGCCGAGACACACCCCCTTTTTGGATTAGTTTCCCCACTGCTAAAGTGAGAGAACTGGCACCAGACCAGTGTTTCTCAGATCGGATCATTTGCTGACCCATACTCAAAGGGTAATCACATACACACACCAATATATGACAAAAGCTTAGTCCCTGTTCCCAGAGACACCCACACAGGCATCCACACACCAAATTTTGCTTAGATGTTCAGAGGCTTCCTGGCCCTCCAACACTGTCCATCTGAGAGGATGATCCCTTGGGCCCTGCTTTCAGGAAAGGTCCCTGGGTTATTAGCAGTGTGGGAAGGTCAGCCCCAAGCTAGGCACAATAGAGACACCTGTGGGAGCTAGAGGCTGGCCAAGGACTTTGAGATTTTTGGAAGGAAGCACCAAAGAAATGGAGAGTGACAATCCCTCCTAGGCAATGTAGGACATCTTGGTCTGGTGCTGGGCTCAGCAGTACTGCAAAGGCCCCGGCAAACTGAAGGGAATTCAGGGAAGATCAACGTAAGTAACGAAGGCGCTTGGGGGATTAATTTAACAGAAAAGATTTAAGGAGCTAAATCCACACAGCTTTGCTAAGTGGCGACTACTAGGGGCTCTGGGATGAGGGTTCAGAGCGATAGGGGTGCTGCAAACACCCTGGAGGGAGGGAGCGTGCTGTTTGCCACGGGCAGAGCAAGGAAGGAATGGAGAGATGCTAAAAAGGAAAACCATGAGGCTGCAGAACAGAAGTTTCCTGGACAACGGGGCTGCAGAATAATTTTCTCGGAGAGGTTTGAGATGCTTCACTGTTCAAAGTTAAAAGGATGTAGGACAGAATTCTCTGTAATGACCCTGAGGACAGATGGGACTCTGGGAGGGAGGATAAACAGACAGGAGACAAAGACTAACCCTAAAACACTGGAGGATGGAAGGTGGCATTGCACCTCCAAGCCCAGACTATAGTCCCTGCCTCTCCTCAGTCTCTCGGAGACGGGAGTAGAGATGATGGTGGCGGGGAACTGCTCGCCTGCCCACGCTCCTGTGCATCGCCCCCAGCTCCCCACCCCAGAAATGCACACTCAGCCAATCTGGCGCCCACCGACAGTCTGAACCTACTATTTCCTTTTCCTGGGACGCCCGGCCCCTATCAGCCTGTCAAAATCCCATTCATCCTCCAAAATGCATTGTCTGGGGAGCCTTTTTGACTTGCTTTCCCCACTACCTAAAATAATTCATGCCTCTCTGCTCCTTCTAATAGACAGAACACAAAATGGTTAAGAGAAGGGACTTGAGCCAGCCTCTGTGTCTGAACCCAGGCTCGTTTAGGAACAGGAGCCCTTGGACCAGGTTATCTTTGCTACTCTCTACCTCAGTTGCTTTTACCTGTAAGAGGAAAAAAAAAAGTGCTGCTACATAAGGCATGGGGCTGTATTAAAAGGGTTAGTATGTTTAAAATGACTAGAACAACCCTGGCATTCCTTTTGGGTTATACACATTCCCTGTCATCACTGTCTGCTCTAGTTTATACACACTTTCTGCGCAGCATTTATCATGCTGGACTGTAGCCACTTCATTTAAGTGTCTGTCTGGCCCCCAGACCAGGACCTGCCTGAGGAGGAACCACATCATTGATTTCGGTACCTCTGAAGCTACCACAGGGCTGGGCTAAGGTGCCCACACAGTGGATGACCCAACGTACCTTCAAATACGGCAAAGAGAGGGAAAAGCCCCAGAAACATGAGTGGCTGCAAGTGGAACATGGTGTCAATGGGGTTCTGGAGCCCTGCAGAATGGGATAGAATGGGACATGTGTGAGTTGTCAGGCCTTGCCTGGCCTGCTCCCGCCTGGTGCCCAGGCCCCCTCTTACCAAGTTCCGCCTTCTGCAGGAGCATCTGGGTGAGGGTCCAGCGAATTCCACCAATGAACGAGGCCCCCAACACCAAGGCAAAGCCCTCCACGTTGAACTGCGTGGACTTATAGGTGAACATGAAGAGGCCCCCAGCAATGAGGAGGACCACCAGGACCAGCGCTGCACGCTGTCAGGATGGGGAGCAGTTGTAAATAACCTGGGGCTCTCAAGTTCATACCTGAGGCTTGGGGGTGAGCAGGCATCTTGGCTGCCCCTGGGGCAAGAAACCCTTCTCCTCCTCTGCCCTGGGGGTCCCGGGCAGCTCCTTCCCTGGGCTGATGTTTAGCTGGCATGTACCCAACATTCCCACTTGGTCTAAAATAGGAAGTGCCTTCCTATGGCTGTCGTAGGCCCCCAGGTAGTCCCACCCCCATCCCTGGACCCAGCAAACAAAGGGCTGCGGCCACACAGCAGGGTACCTCCAGGACCCCGTTCCTGAACCCTTTTCTCCCTTGCCCATTATTTTGGTTGTTACCCCTGCCACTTCAGCAGTGTCCTGTCCTAGGTCCTTCCTCACCCACCTGGGCTGGGGTTGTCTCCTCTGTCACACAAAGTGACAAACCACTGCTCAGACTCCCCTTTTTATTCTTAGCATCTGTGGGGGTAAGAGGGACATAAAGGAGCTGGGGCCTCACCAGCTCCTCCAGCTTGAAGATCAGAGAGAAGATCAAGATGAAGAGGACGGCTGAGGATTTGGTCATTGTGTACCTGGAAGCGAGAATTCCCCACAATGCACTGCTGCAGCCAGGCACTCAGGCCACCAGCAAGAAACGAGCCCGCAGCACAATCAGGGAGCTGGAAACGGGGAAGCTCGGGGGGTACCCCTGACTGCCCCGAGGGAAACTGGCTCTGCTCAGGGCAGCAGGGCAATCTGGGCACAAAAGACCAAAGAGAGGCAGCCTGAGTCATCTGGGCTGATATGTGACCTTTAATTGGAAGAACTCTATGACTAAGAGGCCTCTGCTTATCAGCAGAGAGAAAAGGCTGCAGGTGTGACACTGAGCTCACCGAGTCCTATTATTTATGTACTCCTCAGTGGAGACCAAGATAAGGACAGATGAGAAGAGGAGAAAAAGAGAAGGTAGGGACTGCGCTCTCTGAAGCACACTGAGATAAGAAGTGAATGGTGCGCCTGGCCCGCTGTGCAGCTGGGTGCCCACTGTGCAGCTGGGTGCACTGCATGACGTCAGTGCCCTTCCACCCTGCCACAACTGTCGCCATTCTGTTCGAGCCCCTGGCTTCCCTGGGATGCCGGGCATGCAGGCACAGGATCCCCTCTGTACCCGGCTTCCTGAAGAGGCTGGTGGCTTCCTGGAGAGTGGCTGGATGTCAGGGAGGAGCCGAGAGAGCAAGGGCTGGTCCCAGAGAGGGTGGAGCAGCTGGCCCACACGTGTGGAGAGCCAGCCGGACAGACAGAGCAGGAGCCTGAAGGGAGGTGGCCAAGCGCGGCACTCACAGTGAGACGGTGATGTAGAGGAAGCTCCAGTTGGACAGGCCCACATCAAGTGCTGTTGCCAGTGCTGTGGAGACAAGGGGCACCCACCAGCCGTGCAGCCAGGGCAGGCCGGAATGGGTGTGGCAGTTATAAAAACACTTTAGTGAGGCACCCAAGAGCCCCCTGCTTTGCCCTGTGCACCCTGGCTTTCTCCTGGGCCCTTGGGCTTTCCTTTCTATCCAGCAACTGAAGGGTCAACTCCTGGCCAAAAAAAAAGTGAGGTGGGTCCTGCTGCAGCACCAGGGTTGCAGCACATTCTGACTGGCAGACCAGGGATCGGTTGTGAGGCCTCTTGCTCCCACCTGTTAAATATTTTGAATATCCCCCTGATGAGGGGTATTAATCTGACCCTGTTGATTCCCTACTGGGTACTCTTCAAAGTGGCTTCTGTCTCTCAGGATAAAACACACACTCTTCTCAGAAGACCAGGTTTTGACCCTTACCGCCCTCTCATTTCTTCCACTTCCTCACACCAATGCTGAGTTCTCAGCATCCTGAAACACTTTCAGGTCCCCTTTCAGACCTACACACACTAAACCTCTCCCAGACGCCAAGAGCCCTCCCCTCCCCAGGACTGGCCAGTCCCACTCACCCTCACCCTCCAGGCCCCTGGCTCAGCCCCACCCAGCTGCCCTGTGGGCTGGGCCGGTTCCCCTCCTCTGTGCTCTGTGGTGACCTCCAAACCCCCTTTGCAGTACGGCAAGGGCAGGGGCCACATGCTCTGCTCATAAGTGTCTCCAGGCCATAGTACACGGCTCAGTGTATGGGTGCAAGGGTGAGGGAAGCACAAGGCCACGGTTGCAGCAGAGACTTTCTGGGTGTGCGCCAGGGAACGGGGAGATGAGGTGTGCGGAAGCCACAGAGCAGAGAGGCTGTGAGGCTTCCTTTTGTTCTTGGCCCACAGCTTGCCAAGCAACCCTCCTCCAGCCTGGACCTCCCCAGGGCCCACCCCACAAGCACACACCTGTCGGAGCTACTCTTCTGAGGTAGTCGGTCCAGCTCAGCACCACTCGGGCCCTGTGGCTGGAGCACTGAACCAGTGCCCTGGACAGGGCGGAGAACAGGAAGATCACAGCCAGGTGCAGCATCGTCATGAAGAGGGGGAAGTGGAAGCTCTGTATGGAGTGCAAAGCACAAACGCCCCAGCGGTTTGCAGGCTGCCCACACCAGGCTCCCTCTCCCCTCCTCACCTCTTTCGGGGAGCAGTGGTGCTAATTCTGCGGTTCCTGCGGGCTTTGCACTGTCTGAGGAGCTTTCACCCACATCCTAATCTCTTGGGATGAGAGACTTGGAGGACACCCAGAGAGCAGGTGGCAGACCAGGCATCAGTTGTACTATGGTGCCATCCCCACCACTGCAATAGGCCTAGCTGCCTGTACCAGCACCTCCCCATGGCCCATACCCAGGCAGAGCTGGGGTGAGCACAGCTGTACCAGGTATTAAAGTTCTGAACAAGTTCTTATAGTTTGGTAAACAGCTGATGCCCTAAGGCCAAGTTTCCCCAGCTCACCCTCAGAATCTCCCCTTTTCCAATCTGTCCTTGATCTAAACATTTAGGGAGAAGCCCCCTGGCGCACCACTACTGGAACTGACTTCCAGTCTGATTAGCTGAAGCCTGTGCCCTCCTGTTGTTAAATACTGGGGGCACTATAGCCATGGCCATGGCCACGTTCCCCAAACCCCCACACAGCAAGGCTTCCGAGTTACCTTTGTCAGCCATTTGTTGTAGAAGGTGATGCCGATGGAGAAGCAGTAGTAGAGCAGGACCAGCCCCAGAGTCAGCACTGCCTTCCAGACAAAGGCCACGTCGAGGGCCCACCTCCCCATCCGGGGAAGTTGCGACGCCCTAGCTCTGGGTCAGGGGCGGGCAGGCACTTCTCCTGAAGTCGGTGCACAGGAAGAGCCGGCTGAGCTGGGTCACGACTTGCAAGAATGTCTCCTGGCTGGGGGAGTTCTCTTTGCTTCCATGATTTGGGATCATCAACGGAGCCCCAGGTGGAATCCTCACCTAAGGGGCTGGTGGCCTGAGCTGATCCTCTCCATGATTAACTGGATGCAGGGCTCACAGGTCCCCAGGTCTGAGCTAGAAAGATGAAAAAACAGCTTGGGTGGCTCAGGGCCCCCCGCTATCCCACAAGGCGCAGAGCAGGCGTACAGCGTGAGGCGGCAGGCATACCCCAACTGCACAGGTGCTCACAGAACCCCCGTTGTCCATTTCCCTGTCACCTCAAGCTGTTCTCCATCAACTGCCACCAAAGTGACCTTTTAAAAACGTCAGACCATGTGTCAGCCCTCCAGTGCCCCTATGATAAAGACCAAAAGCCTTCCAGTGGCTCAGAAGGCCTGCTCCGAACCCTGCTGGATTCCTTGGGGGCAGCTCCAGGCTCTCTATCCCTAGTACCATCGGCCACCTTTCAGTTCCCCAAACACACAGACTCTTTCCTGCTGCCTGAAGGAACTGAACCCTTTTCCCAACATCATTCCTTTGTCAGCTGATCCTACTTATCTTCTTCACAAATGTCAATTCCTCAGGGACCACCCACTTGCTGGGCTCCCGAGATCCAGGCTGCTCTCATGGCTCCCCCAGTTTTCCTGCATTGCACTTGCACAAAGCATGATGATTTGAGTGATTTCTGTGTCCCCTGGGAGGCTGTGAGCTCCAAAGACAGGGACCACTGTGCCCATGTTCGCCTTCTGCCCACCCAGCACACTGGAAGTTCCCCACATGGAAGAGTCAGAGCAGGAGTGAGGCTGCATGACCTTCAGGGAGCTTATCTGGTCTTTAGGGTGTTAAAGATGGGCTCAGAAACCAATACCTACCTTGCCCTAGCCTCTAATGACCACGCCGACAGAGGCGATACCTGCCTTAGGGTTTTGCCAAACCAAACCACTCCCTGCCTCCCTATCCATCCATCCAAACCTAGTGAGTGTCCAGGGCATGCAGGCTCCAGGGAAATGGGGCAGACCGGCTGCAGCCTTATCCCCCCTGCTGCTTCATCTGTATGTCCCTCCTTCCAGCCCCTCCTTGGAGAGGGTCCCTCCCTGCTGAAACACAATCTCCTTTTTGAAACCTTCCTAGGACCATCTGATCAGACGTACCCTACTTCCCCCACGCAGTCCTTTTGGAAAGGGAGCAATTGTATCAGTTTTGCACTCTGGAACCTGGGGTATCATTTCCCCTCCCCCAGGGCAAACAGGAAGCTGGCACAGGCTTTGCCCAGACACTCTAGGGCAGTGGTTCTCTTCAGGGGAACTTTGGAAACCTGTGGTGGTGTTTGGGGGGACTCTCCTAGCTTTTAGTGAGGACTATACAGGGGAGAGTCCACATTAACAAGAATTATTCTGCATCCTGCATGACTCTGACATTCACAAAGGTAAAAGATGTACTCATTAATTACCTGAATCTAGAACCCAACTCTACTTTACATGTAACACAGAGCAGTTTCTTCATAATTCTGCTCTGCACTAAAATTTCCGAGACTACATTTACCATGTATGTTAAAGGGAGACTGAATAGTTTTGATAGAAGGGTATGAGTTCCCATTCTGGAAAAACTATGTCACCTTTAGCAGTGGCATGTGTCGTTTTTGAGCTGCCAATGCAACATGGCTGCTCAGGTTCTACGGAGCAGTGAGAGCACAGAATGTTTCCCTGTGGCTTCCAGTATGGTGCTCAGGAACTTACCTACCGAAACACATCTTACTTTATTATCAATCACTTGTCTTTTATTTCTCTATTATATTTGTGGTTAGGGCATTGACAATTTTTAAAATTATGTATAGGTAGTCTTTAGTAACTGTAAGTTTCATTTTAGGATAATAAGGGGAGGTGTTAAGGAAATATTTGTCATTAAAAAGAGGGGGTTGTATCCGATGGGCTAAGAACCACTGTGCTATGTAGTCTAATGTGGCCAAGTCCTTGCTATGCCTTCTGTAAGCTGACCTTGCCCCACTGTGCATCCCTCCCTCTGACCCCCACCAGCTGCCTACCTGTCCTTTCTGCTTGGATGGCTGCCACCAGGTACCTAACCCCCAGCCTGCCCAGCCCTAACCCCAGTTTTCCAGGAGTCATCCAGCCTCTGTCCAAATCTGCTCTTCTTCCCACTCCAGCCAGTGGCGCCACCATTCACCTGTTGCTCAGACCAGAAACCATGTTCTCGTCCTTAATTCCCCTCTTCCCCATAGCCCACATTCAGTCAACAAATACTTTCACCTCTCTTATAATCCCCCAAATAATCACAGCTCCTGACCTCCCCACTACCATCCCAGTCATCAGCCTCTCTCCCCGCCACAAAGCATCAGCTTCCTATTTGGTTCTCTCTGCTTCCCCCTGTGCCTCCCACAGCCTGACTCCTGCTTACACAGCCAGAGTGGGGCTCACAGCCACCAAATCTATGTCTAACGGGCCTCAGGGCCCATATGCTTTCCTCTCCACTAGGGCTTCGCAACCCTGGCAACACTGGAACTTGGGGCCCAATGATTTCAGGGGAGAAGGCCTGTCCTGGGAACTGCAGAGTCGTTAGCAGAATCCCTGGTCTTTAACCTGCTAGATGCCTATAGCAGCCCTTCCCCCTCATCCCAAGTTGCAAAAACCAAAAATGTCACCAGACATTGCCAAATGTCACCTGAAGGGCAAAACTGCTCCCTGCTGAGAATGACTGCTTACACTGCAAAGGCAACCACGGGGCATGCTGGCACCAAAGCAGCTTCCTCCTAGTGCTCTCTCCCACGGTTCCTACCATGGCTTCTAGGGGCAGTCTGCACCCTTCTGCGGCTCAACTTCTTGGACCTTCCGCTTCTGCAGCTCCTGCTCCAACACTTCGATGCCCTCCCTCCACTGTTCAGACCCTGCCCTTCCTTCCAAGAGCAAGTCCAGGCCCCCCACCTCCAGAAGTCCCTATGACTAGCCCAGCCCACAGGGAGCACTGTCTCAATGTTAACACTCATGCTCTTATTCAAAAGATCACCTAACGCCAAACACAAAATCAGACCGACCTCAGCTAGAAGGGCTCTTGGAAATCATCTAGCCACTTACTCAACATGCATTTATTAAGTATCCCTGTAGACCTAGCATTGGAGATAGAGGGAGTAACTGCTAAGGTCTCCTCCCTTCTTTTATGATAAGAAAAACCAGGTTTAGAGGGGCATATGTTCTTTTTCAAATCTCACTTGCCCAGGGAAGGAATTTCACAATCTGCCTTATTTTCCCCAGGGGCAGCCTAGCTGGGAGCAATGGCCACACCAGGGTAGAGCTGATACAGCACCCGGCTCCCCTCAATCTCCCCAATTGTAACATGGGATATGCAGCTTAGTGCTCAAAAGTACAGTCTGGAAGTAAGAGACCTGGGACCAAGTCATGGCTTTTCTTCACTGCTTTTTGACCCTAAGTTACCTGACCTCTGGACCTCAGTTTCCCCAGCTGTAAAGGAGGTAAGATCTGCCTCCTAGGAGAGGAGTCAGTGGCGCCAGGTAACCCACTCAATGCTGGCTCACAGCAGAGGCTTACTCCCCTGCTGGCCCCTTACAGCCAAACTTCCCAGGGCCCCCTAATGGCAACCCTACCCCCCACCCTCTGAGCTCACTTCAGCCTGTCCCCACTGCTCCACTGAGTCACCACACCCCCCTTGTTGTTCTCTTCAAGGGCCAAGTGTCTGTTCTCAGTAGAGACTGAGAACACAACTGACCACTTCTCCTCAGAAGATCTCTTGGATGCCACACCATACGCTCCTGTTTTTTCTTCTGCTTTTCTGGACTCCTTCTTGGTCTTCTTTGCTGGCTCCTCATCAACCCAACCTGTAAGAATTAGATGCCAGAGGGCTGGAACCTGGCTTTGGCTTTATCTTCTCATCTGAGTAAGCTCATCCTAACCTACTAACATGCCTGTAGGATAATAGGATAATATACAATTCTTTACATCAGCCCTAACCTTTTCCACCAGCTCCAGACTACTGTATCTGTCTATTTGGTAGCTCCACTCAAGATATCTAATACTTAAGATGTCCCAAGCCGATTTCTTGATTCATGTCCCCAACCTATTCCAAAGTCATTAGTTAATACCAGCATAATATACCTGTTTACTTCTGCCTAAACCCCCAAATCAATGATCCAGTCATCCTTGACCACTCCTTCCCTCCACTCTCAAGTCCTGTCCTGTCAGTTCCACCTCCAATACACCTGACCCATCTACTTCTCTTCACCTCTACTCCACCACCACAGTGACCTAGGGACTGCGCGTCTCCTAACCGGTGTCCCGGCTTCCTCTTCCCCTCTACAGCCTGCAGTCCACAAAGCAACCAGAGCTTACGCACAGAAAGCAGACCATGCCCTCCCTCAAAGGGTTGATCCCAACTCCTCAGCAGGCCCAGGTGGAAGGCCGCCCACCGTCTGATCTCTGCCCACGCCTGCAACCTCACTCTCCCACCACTGGCACAGCACCTGCCACGCTGGCGCTGGCTGGCTGCCAAACACATCAAGCTTGTACCGTCGGCACTTGCTGTTCCTTCTGTCTAGAACGCTCTTCCGCAGACCTGTGCCTGACTGAGGTCTCCTCTACAGCACCCTCCTCGTGGCACCTCCCACCACCCGGCGTCTCCCAGTTTGCCCTTGTGTTTACTGCCCGCCCCCCGCTCCCACCCCACTGCGGGATGCGGCGCGGCCGGCGAGCAGGGCCGGGTCAGCTTGAGTCCCGCCTGAGGGCAGGCCCGGCACGACTCGGGGGCTCTGGAAATGCCGAAGAAGCGAGCGTCGCAGGCGGCCGCGGCGGCGGCGTGCAGAAGACCCGGCCACCCCATGGCGGGGAGACTGAAGGCCGGGACAGGCAGGAGCCTCGCGTGTCGCGGCGCGCGGATCCCGCGGGGACCCCACTCCCCTTCCCAGCTCCGGGTCCCGCCCTCGGGAGCGCGCCGGACGCCCGCCGCGCGCCGACTCACCTCGGCCGCGAGCGCTGCGGGCCCGGATCCTCCAGCCGGAAGTGCGAGGCCGAGCACCGCCTCGGGAGGGCACTTCCGCCGGAAGCCGCTGGGACGGGCCTGCTGTCCGTGGGGACGGGGGCGAAGTGGGTTACCTGTCAGCCCAGGCCCCGCGAGGCGCACCCTCCCTGGGAGCCCGTGGAGCCTAGCGCCGAGCACCCCGCAGATGCTGTGGTTGTGTCTCCTGCGCTCAATCAGGGCCTCGCTTTGGAGCTCCAGTGCAGGCCGCACTGCCCAGGCACCCCAGGCAGCCAGAAGTCACCTGTTTTCTCTTATTGAAAACGTGAAGTATTGGCCTAATTCCAACCCAGTGCTGGGCAACCACGGAACCACAAAGATGAAACTCTCATGGGCTTTTTCTTCTGGGAGCTCAAGCCAGCTTGGGAGTGGTACAGTCAGGGGCATTAAATTTTAGGACTCAGATCTACAGAAGGTAATATAAACAAACATTTGTGAAACATTTTCCGTGTACATTGTAAGAATGATCTCAGTTTCAGTCTGTTGAGGGGCAGGTGAAGTGTTTCAGAGGAAGTAAGGAGGGAGAGAAACCTGGGGCCTGGCTTGGAGACCAGTTGTTTATTAGGAGAGTTAACAAAAGCTGTGGTGGAAAAGTAGCCAAGGGGCAGGTTGCAGTGGTCCTGAAAGTGCCAGCTGGGGAGTTGAGATCTTCCTTATCTTGCAGGATAGATTAAGAGGCAGGTGCTGCCGACAGGGAGAATGGTTGGGAGTCCAGGGCAGGTGAGAGTCGCAGACTGAGGCCCAGTTTGGGGCTTTCTCCAGCCCCTCCAGGGCTCACTGGCTCTAAGGCTGGCTGAAAACATGGATCCTTGCCAAGTGACTCAGCTGCTGCTTGGCCCTTCTGAACAGAAGCCTCAAGGCCAGAGTATAAGCATTGCATTTTGCAAACCACTGTGACCCTGCCATCACCAGCTGGCATCAGGCAGGCATTAGTTCATCCAGTGCTGACCTTGCACCTACAATAGCACCCATTACTGGCCAAGGGCTTGTCAGTCCTCAAGGCTGGTACTTGGACTTTCTATGCCTTTTTAAGGAGCTCGTCTTCGCCCCCTTCTCTTAGAGGATGTCTGTTTTCATTATCACCCTCATTCAAGCTTCCCAGCTACCAAGGCTGAGGTTAGGAGCAACAGCATAGAACACCAGCTGGAAGGCTGGGCACTGAACACTGGCAACACACAGGGTGAAGATGTGCCTCCTTTGTAAGGCACAAGTACTCGAGCTGTTCCCTGGCAGGGAGAAGAGACGGCACATTTACGGGAGTGTACAGTATCCCTTTCGCTGCTGATGCATCAATCTGTGAGCATCCCTCACCGGCAGGTGTGTGTATGCGCGTGCGTGTTGTGGTGGCAGGGGGGCTGAAGAGGAGGAGCTCTGAGAAGGCGGCTGAGGGCTCCAGCTGCAGCGCTCCGCTCTCTCCCAGACGCAATGAAATGAAGGCTTGCCAAGGTGAAAGCTCCCTTGGGCAGGTAGCAAGTACAAAGAAACAGCTGTTCATAGGAGCCACAGTTTGTACATGAAAGAGTATTTATTGAAAACATGGTTACTGACAGGTAACTCCTCGCTGCTCTCAGGTTACAATCTTGGTTCACAACTGAATTGTTACTTTTTTCTGGCCTCTAATTTTCCCTCAAACATTCCATCCTAGGATCGGTAGATCTAATATAAATATATATACATGTCTGTATAAGTATGGCCTACAGTAAAGAAAATATATAGTACACTCTTGATTGGGCAGTACCTACGATGCCAGGTTACCAACACTGAATGCCACCTGCGTTCACTTATGTCCATGGAGAGAGGCTGTGCATGTGGTTTACAAGTGCTACAGCACCAGGGAAGCCCATTGGCATGGCTATGGCCTCAGCTGGCCTCAACCAGCTCCCTGAAATCCTGGCCAATGGCAGAAACCACAGCGCTGGGAGAGGGAGGATGGGAAGGCCGACTTCCTGAGGTCTGGAAGGCCAGAGGGGAGCACACTGGAGGGGATGCAATTCAGGTTAGGTGGGAGATTACCCCCCCAAGGGAGGAAAGCGATAAATGTGGGGGGAGAGGGGAGTAGAATCTCGTGACCTCACCACAGCCTAGGCCCACACCTCATCTGCGCTCTCCCTGCAGAGTTCCTTAAGACAGAGGGTGGGGCTTAGCCCTCTTAGTCAAATGCCTTTGACTCGCCAGGATGAGAAGCTGAGAGAGGTTGCAGGGAGAAATTTCCATCTGCCCAGACAACCGAAGGGGCAAGAGGGACCTGGTGGCTCCGGAGACCAGAGGTGTCGGAGCTAGCCCTGCGCAGCAGCAGCAGCAGCATGTGGGCACTGTCTGAGGCCGGAGTGAGCCCTCGCGGCGGCAAGGGCAAGGGCAGGCGCCTCCTCGTGAAAGGCCAAGGCCTCCACTTGGATCTGAGACACGGGCGCAGGTCACCCAGAGTCTGTCCCTCCAAGACTGTCACCAGGCCCGCACGTCTGTCCTCAGCAGGCAGCCTTTCCTAGGCCAGCTCTTGCCCCCACGGAGGCCCAGCTAACTGGAGAGCAGGCTCAGGGAGAAAAGGTGAGTGGCTGTTGTTAACTCCAGCTCAAGAAGCAGTTCCTTGGCCTGGAGGGCAAGGGCGTCTGCTGTTCATTCCTCATGACCTGATCCCAGGAGCCATGGGGATGAGGACGGAGCACCCTGCCTTCATGACTCAGAGTGGCCGGGGACCAAGAGGAAGCTCTGGGTGGCCCAAGGTGGGTTTGAGGAATGGCTGGCATTTACTGGCCACCACGGTCACTACAGATTCTGTACAAGCAGAAGACAAGGCACCAGACTGTGAGTGTTTCTCCTGGGCCCAAAATCCCTTCCTGGGTGCCGCCGACGCTGGCTTGGGGCTCAGCCATAGTGATAGACGAAATCATAGCTGCTGGGCTCCTTGGGCACTGGTGGGGGTGCTTCAGGAATCTGGATGTTCTCCAGGTCCAGAAGCCGCAGCTTCATCTCCATGCTCAGCAGGGTGTCCAGGTCACTCTTTGTCAGCTCGCTGGACATGTCCTTCCCCAGAAGGGCACTGAGGCCATCAATCCAGATGCAGTACTGTGGGGAGCAAGTTGCTAAACGTCACATGGTGGCCCCTGGCCGGCAGGACGTCCTGCCAAGATCCCTTTTCTGAGAGGACTCACAACAGTCTCTGTTGGCCCCATTAGGCATAGGCAAAACTGATTTGGGATCATGGCAAAGATAAATTACAAGGTGATCATTCCCTTTCTCAAAAGATCTTTGGTTTTTATGAGGAATTTACATTTAAGTTCCCTGAGATAATATCAAAAATAATTCTTTAAAAGTAATTAACGAATACAGCAAAACGAGACCTGAGCACTGGGGCATCAACTACCTGAAATTAGTAATGGGGGTGGGGAAATACCTGTTAGGTGAAAAAGGCAGGACACAAAATTACCGTAAGATCCCCATTTTGATTCAAAAAAGTCAATTAAAAAAAAAACCCAGTCAATAAAGTTAAAAATAAGTACTAGAGAAAGTGAACTTGAGGGTCTCACGATAAGAGGGAATAAAAGCACTCTCAGCCCATCCTTCCCTAACTCCTTCTGTTCCATCTTTTTCCATGCCTTTGCTCACCTGCTCCCCACCTGCTAGGTCTTCATTCCTTCCCAGAGAACTCCACTGGCAGCTCAGGCCCTGCCTAAGTGTCTCCCACCTCTAGTTCCTGCTGATGGCTCTCGGAGCTCAGCAGACATGTAGGTCTCAACTGCAGCTACTCATTTAACATCAAGTATCTTCCGATGCTGCAGGTGAAACTGAGCCCCGTGCCAGGAGGACCAGGTCCATCTGGCTTCAAAGCCCAGGCCAGATCCACTACAGCATGTGACCAGGAGCCCTACAGAGGGAGAATCTGTCAGGTTCACTTAGGTAGGTGGCCATGCAGAAACTAAAAAGAGATTTTCCTAGTCCTAGGCAAATGACAGCCCCAGTTGACTCAGTGTTTTTAATGACAACCTAGGGCTTCTGCTCAAGAGTAACCTGGAGAGCCTGGCTCAGGGGGATGGCCCCAGTGGGGCAGGTCTTCAGTCTCAAACAGCCTTCATGATACACTGTGGCCCCCTGCTTTTAGGGGAGCATTCCTGTTCTGCCCACTCCTGCCCTCCAGCTGAAGAATGAGAGAGGGCTCGGCTGTCCAAGGCAGTGCCACACTGCTCACCTCATACTTATTAGGTGCAATGAAGTTTAAGGTCTCATCAGGGTCATACAGGATGGAGAAAGCCAATTCCAACACCTCCTGAAGGAGAAAGGATTTCAGTTACTTGGAACAATGGAACAGCCTGTGCTTGACACTCCCAAGGGCTTGGCCAAAGTTCTAGTAATTTGGCACCATCACCAAATATGCTGATTTAAGTGTGGTATCATCAAGGCCCCAGGGCACATAAGCAGGAGATGAGGCCCAGAGGTCATTGACCTTAACTTACCTACTCCCCACCCAAGTCACGCCTAAGATGTAGAGATACTTTTAAGATTGGAGAAAAGTCATTTCTCAACACTCAGAACCTTTTAATGTCAGAGTCCATGACTGTATATTACCTTAAATATATATCTTGGTAATTAAACTGAAAGTCTTGACAGTTTAAAAACCACAACAAAAATCAAATTATGGCCAAAGATGGATCAATTTGAGTATCAAAAACACAACTGTAATGGACTGAAACAAATAAAATTTGCTTAAATCCGTGAGTTTATAGTAATGCTAAAAAACACAAAACAAAACACATACACAAAATTGGTCACTGTTGGATGATACCAGAGAATAACTCACTGTTTTAAAAGGAGATACTTAAAAGGAAAGAATCCAGCATTTACTCCCCTTTCTTATATAAATTGTACCACTGGGGAACCAATAGTAGATGACAGCAAGTTTCTCTTTAGAGGAGTAGTTCAGCGAATAAATGAAAAGGCATGACTGCATTAGATTATCACTAGTGTGCAGACTTAATTTACGAGCAGAATGAGGCCTTGAGCATTAACAGTTTGCCAACATCACAAAAAGACAGACGACGACATATAATATGCCTCTTGAGAACATAATGCCATCTAGGAAGGAGTCTTGCCAAAAAAAGGGGTCAAACCTGAACTGGATCAAGCTTCTAGATCTCACTACCAATTTACAGTTCAGATCTGGGACATAGTAACAAGTCACACTACACCATGGGGAGACAGTCAGCACATTTCACACTCTGGGAAACTACCAAACAAGCAACCTGATTTCTTCAACTCATAAACTACAAAGAGAAAAAAAGAAGGAGGGGAAACTTACGAATTAAGAAACTTAAAAGACTAATCACAATGTGTAGATCCTATGTGGGTTCTAATTTAGCAAACAAAATAGGGATGAGTGTGTGTATGTGTATACATGTACATACACACATGGACATATTTTTATACAGAGAAGTTATTATATTTATAAGACAGTAAGTGGAAATTCAACCATCAATGGAATATTTGATATTAAGTAACTTTTTATTTCTTTTTAGGTATGATAATGGTATTGTGATTATGTTAAAGAGTCCTTGAAATTTAGATACATTCTAATTACTTACAGATGAAGTAATACTTGGGATTTTCTTCAAAGTAATAAGGGAGAAATAATTTAAGAGAGGATGGGGGCGAGAGCATGCACCCGAAGAGCAACTGTCCTCTCCAGGTGTCACGGTGACAGCCACCACCACTCAGGACTTCCTCTGCACTCACCTTGTTCTGCTTCAGGGCACTTTTCTCTTTCATGTGGGGACAGTCTTTCCCAGTGACAATGGCCTTGATGTCTGCAACAGGAACTGGCAAATGAAGGGAATTAGTCTCTGGAAGCTTTATGCTGCAAGGGGGTCTCTGCATCAGTGCTGGAGGGGCAATCCCACCCATCCTCCAGGCACAGGCCTGTGCGAGCTCAGGCACAATGCCCCTGTATTGTCCCCTCCTCCGTGGTTGCCTCACGTGGACCATGGTCTGCTGGGTTCTGTCAGATCTGACTGGGGCTCAGTTCGGAGTGTTTGGCTTGTCTCTGCAAGGAGTGGGGCCTCAAACACTCACCTCACTTCCACTTCACAGTCATGGAGATGACAGTGCCACCATGGCGAAGAGCAGGGGCTGAGCTAATAGTAACGCTCACCACCTGCCAGCCACCCTTCCAAGTGCTTTCCATTCATTGTCATTCTATCCTCTTATAAGAGAAATGTGGCTGTTATTGCCATTTTATAGAAGAAAACAAGGCAGAGGGAAAATTAACCTACAATTAATTAGAATTAATAGCAAAGCCAGGATTTGAATCCAGGCAGCCCAGCTTCAGAGCTTCTGCTCTTAACCACTGCCTTTCAACCTAGTCTCATACCACCCTTTACCATCTGCCAAACCCATTCCCATCTGTCACCCCTCTGAATTCTCCAAACAGCTTTGTGAGGAGGCCGGGTAGGTGACCTCTGAGAGATGAGGAAGTGGGTCTGGAGAGGTAACTGGCCCAAGACCAGATCGTGGGAAACAGCCGGGACTAGAACTTAGAACTAGAAGCCCAGCTTCAATGACACAGCAACAGGGAAATGAACCTACTTTTCTCCTGCAGGGATTCGAACGTCACCTCCCCCTGCGGGTTGTCATCTAAGTCACCATAGTGCAGGACCTTGTGGTTCAGGGCCAAGCGGCAGTACCAGAAACGTTCTGGAACACAAGGGGAGCCGAGCAGGTGAGAAGGGCCGGTGCTGGGGTAGTCCTGGGCACCCCCGGGGCAGGATGGCTTGCTCCCTGCCTGCTTCCTGCAGGGCCGTGGGGGCAGGCTCCCTTCCAGCAGGGACTCGGGGCAGGAAGGCCCAGCCCAGGCCCAGGCCCCCCTCACCTTGCCTTCGGCGATTCCCGATCTTCCGGAAACTGCTGCCCTCACAGAGCCGGTTCAAGCGCTGCTGCTTGATCAGCTCAAGGATCTCGGGCTGGATCTTCTCCCTCAGTTCCCTGGGGTGGACATGCACCAGAGGAAGGGGATGGTCACAGGGACAAGCAGGGCTTCTGAAGGCAGGCAGAGCTGGTGCCCAGTCCGGGTTGGCACTTACACAATTGGCGGAGACTGGAAGTCATCCTGACTCAGCCTCTCGGACTGGCGCAGTCGTAGAATCTCAGAGTAGCTCAGGCTACGGAGTTTGCTCTTGAACTGATCCAAAGAGTTGGGTTTGGAGGGCAAAGCTCGAGTGATCTGCTCTCGGACTACCTGCATAACCTAAGGGGAGAGGAAGGCCGCTGCCTCGCCGCTGCTCTACAGACCGATGGCGGACTCTGGGTCTGGGGCGCAGCAGGCGCACCGGACGTCTGCTGAACGAGTAGGGGCGCCAGCTGCCTAAGGCACTTTTCCTTGCAGGGTTACTGAGGACAAATGGCTGATGCTGACAAATGCTTTGTTTCTCACACATTTCAATTAGTTAATGGTGTGGTGGAATGAGCATAGATTTTTAGAGTCAGGGAGAAATGGGTTCAGATCTTGACTCTGTCCCTCAGTCTGTTCCTTGAGCAAGTCATTTAGTCTCTCAGGCCTCCATCTACTCATCTTTAAAGCAAGAAAAAGACCCATCTTCTGTAATGTGCTGCTTTAAGGATTACGAGATGCTATATGGTGTGTTAAAAAAATGTGTTACTTCCCCTAAAACAATAAAAGCTAAAGAGAAAAACAGTATCATACCACACGTCTAGTCAGCTCTCCACCAATGAAGGAAAAATCTATAGGAAAAAAGACTAGAGGGAAACATAAAAATGGTCATGGCTGGATGGTGGAGCTATAGAGAACTTTTCCTTCTTTATATTCCCCAAATGTTATACAATGAGACGAGCAGTTTCAAAATACTCAGCTCCTAGACTGTCAGCCTTTGAGGGCCTAGCAGTGCTCGCCAGCAAGTGGGCACTCAGATTGCATGAGCAATGACCTTGACATGTACATCATTCCAATCCATCCTCCCTGCCACTTCCAGTGCACAAAACTGCAACAGCGCCCGCACACAAGTGCTCAATAACCTACAGCTGTGATTATGATGCTTATCCTCCTGCCCCCTAAGGAAGCCAAGCAGGACAAGCGCTGGCTCCACTGGATAAGTGAGGGGCCAGGGCACCAAGGGTTGGACACCTGCTCAGGGTTACAAAAGCAGCACAACCAGAGGGGACCGAGGCTCTTCAGTGCCTGCCTCAGTCTTGGGACTCTGAGCTGCAGACCAAACTGGTTGTCCAGTTCAGAGATTCACCAGGCTCTAGCCAGCTGTCACAGCTGTCACAGCTGTCACGTGAGGGTTGCAGCCTGTGGACCGCAGAGCTCTGTGACACGGACCTTGTTGAAGTCCTCAGCTGTTGCCCTCATCTCCTTCCAGGTCTTGTTCAACAGCTGGATGCAGATCCCAAAGAGCTCTTCGAATGCCCGGTCATGGGTAAAGAACATCGGGTGGTAGTCGTTGCGTCCTTCGTTTGCTGTGGAAGGAAAGGAACACGCAGGTAGGAATGGTCTACCCAAAGGGGCCCGGGAGCTCACGTCCTGAAACTCTGGGTCCTCTGCTCCCACGTCCCAAGGAACAAAAGTGGAGCGAGGCCCAGGCTAATGAGGCTGTGACATGGGGCTTCCTCTGCTTCCCTAGCTTCCTTCTCAGGGGCTCTTCCCCTTGGTCGGGCTCTACCCTCTTATGGACTCGGCTACTCTTACACACAGGAGCAGACAGAGGCAGCACAGCGCTTGAACATGTTTAAATTACCAGCTCAAACAAGGCGACAGCCATGATTCCCATCAACAAGGATAAGATGGATGGCAGCTCACTCAGTGACTTAAAAAAATGCACAATAAGGTTGTCCAGTCCCACTGACACCTAACTTCATAACTTTTAGCCTCACCAGGCTCCTGATTGTAAGGAATGGCTGCAGGAAGAGAGGGAGCTGCAGACTTACGTAGTTCCCCAACCTGCAGGATTTCACAGAGCATTTTGGTGAGCTCGATGGCACTGCGGCCAAAGGGACATTCATGTTTGTCTTCTCGGCTGCTGTTCTCCAAGACAATCTGGGGCGAAAGAGGGAAGGCAGGTGAGAGAGGGAGGCGAGCGACGCAGCACAGGACTGAGAGCTGGCCCCAGCTTTTACCCGGATGTAGGTGTCCTGGTGGACTTTAGCCAAATACAGCATGTTGTCCAAGGCCAGCATTCCAGGAGGAGTCTGGGTGAAGTCCATTGCTGGGTTGATATGGTTCTGGAGAAAAAAGAAACCCACTCTGAGACTCAGTAGCCTCCCTGTGGGCAGCATCGCTTCAGCGGAAGGCCCACCACCAGCCTCCGTACCTGGGTCTTACCTCTTTCCTAGCCCTCTTCCCACACCTGGCTCTGCTAGGAGCCTGAGCGCTCAACTCTGTGTGTCTTCCCAGCGCCTAGTATACCACAGGGCACTGAGTAGGTGTGTAGTAAATATTTAATGAATTAACTCCATCCTCAAGCTGTATCCTATCACAAAATATCCACTCTAGCTTTCAAAGAACCTAGCTTTGTGACAGGTCCCTTCCCTGCCTATTTGGCTGACCCTGGCCCTTGTATGAGGGGTTTGTTTCCCAGGGCCAAATGGCACATGGAAACCTGTGACCCTGGCACCACCGAAGCAAACCAGGCATCAAAGCCCCTCCAGCAGCCTCTTAGGGTCAACTATCTATCCCAGGGCCACCAGGAGGAGGGAAGGGTCTCAGGGCTTTGTCTGGGCGGGCCCCCGGACTTCCTGCCAGGGGAGAAGGCCTACCAACATCTGTGCTTCGGGAAACTTACAGTAAATCCCAGCATTTTGTAGTCCTTGGTGTACATGGCTTTGCGTTTTTCAGTCCCACTTCCAGGGACAGTGCTGGGGTCTGACTCGGCATCAAATGCAATCCTCCTCAGTTCAAATATAATGTCTCTTTGAGCCTGAGAAGTGAAACAGACAACCAGCAGGTGAGTCTGCTAACCAAGGGAAGCAAGGCCAAGAAAGAGTGAGTCAGGCTTTGGGGGACAGAACTCTGAGGGGCACCACCTCCCCTTAGCAGGGCAGAGGTGGGCTTGGCCGACAGCCACCCACCAGGAAGCAATGACGGTGAGGCACAGAGCTACATCTCCCCAGCGACTTCACAAACCATTCCTGCAGACCAGGCACTGTCCCTGACACGCAGCAGCTGCTCGACACGTAGACTAAGGGCGGAACGTATGTCAGGCAGCACATGGTTCATACCAGGAAAGCTCCGTCCCACTCAGCACCACCTACCTGGTCACTGGGGTCCATCTTGGTCATCATCCTTTCTTCCAGGAGGTTAAAGGTCAGGACTTGCAGGACATACAGCTGATGGGCCATCTCAGTTTTGATCGGGCGGTTCCCTCGGATCACATGCTGGAAAAAGCAAAGGCAGGGAGCTGAGGGTTGAGCTGATTTTCTTTTGCTGAAGAGTCACATCTGTGCTGGTGAAAAAGAAAGTATGCCAGGCAGGGAGCAGGGCTTTCCTCCCACACACAGGGACTTCATGTTCTAGAAGGGGATGGAGTCTGAATGGGCTTGATTCAGGCAGAGATGATTCACTGCAGACCCGAGGCAGTCCTTTCTCTGCACTCCCCTGGGCAGGGTGAGTGGGACGAAGGGGGAGGCTGCACCCGCCACACTGCAAGACTCCTCATTAAGATTAGGAGAGGGGAGGTGAGCAGCGGGTCCCCATTCCAACTGGCTACTATACAGGCCTGCTCAGGCCAACACAAGAGGGCATAGAGCAAGAGTTGCTCGCAGAGTTGGACAGTAAGGTTCCTTTGTTTTCTCTTAGAAAAATAAAATGTTTTGGATGGCCTCACTGAGTGGAGAAGCTTTAGAAAAGGTCATTTTCTTTAAATAGTATCACACACACAAAGGGGGACATCTAACGCCCTGCCCAACCCTTCACTCTCTCCCCTTCTCTCCACTCACCCTGTGTACAGCACCCCTGTGTCCCTTTCTGTCCTCTGCTCCCTTTCTGTGCCCCTCACCCTGCTCAGTCCATCACCCCCACGGTCCCTCTGGTGCCCCCCACTTTGGGCCCCTCTGCTCTCTTGCTCCACCTCGGTCCTTTGCTTGCACACCTCCTCTCCCGCTATCCCCAGGGCACAGCGATGCTGGGCTGTGTGCTTGTCTCTCGCCGTCGTGCTCCCTCCCATGATCCCTCACTCTTGCCTGCTGGCTCCCTCGCATTTCTCACTCCCTCTGTCTCCCCCAGCATCCTGAGTCTTGTCACTCTTGGTCTTTTCTTGCCCAGTAGAGGCTGACGCCCTATCTCCCAAACATACCCTCCGTGTCTTTCAGGTCCTCTTATTCGGCCTAGTTCTATGTCCACAGCAGTGCTGTTCAACACGGTGGCCAATAGCCACATGTGCCTAAATACATTTTAAGTTGGTGAACATGAACTGAAGTTAAGAATCCAGACTCTCAATCACAGTAGCCACATCTTGAGCTCAATAGGCATATGTGGCTAGTGGCCACCACCAGTATTAGAGTAGATATGGAGCACTTCCATTATCACAGAAAGTTCTACTGGACAGCCCCACCCTGGAACTGACTCTAATAAATCAGTCTTTCTAGAGCTCCTCTACTTTAGGTCAGCTCTCTCTGCAGCTTGCTCTGGGACTTGAGATGAGTCTCTTTAGACCTATGTACAGTACAGTTTGGTAGCCACTAGCCACAAGGCTGTTGAAACACCTGAAATGTGTCTAATCCAAACTGAGATGGGCAGTAAATAAAAAAATGCATAGAGTCTCAAAGCCTTAATACGGAAAAAGAAAATGTTCAATATCTCAGTACTTTCTGTTGAATACATGTTGAAGTCATAGCATTTTGGATATACTGGGTTAAATGAAATATGTTATTGAAATTAAATTTCCCCTATTCCTTTCCAGTAGCATCACTACTACATTTAAAATAAAGTAAGTGACTTGCATGTATTTCCACTGGCTGGTGGTGTTCTAGACTTCCTCTCCCCACCCTGTGACTTCAGAATGCTCTTCATTTCTCTCTCTTTCTCTAGATCTGCACAGCCTAATACAGTAGCTAGCTACAAGCCACATGTGGGTATTTAAGTTTAAAATTGGAATAAAAAAAATTAAACATTCAGTTTCCCAGTCACCCAGACATAACTGAAGTACTGGGTGGCTTCATGTGGTTAGTGGTTGCCATTATGGACAGCCTTCCACACCTGCAGAAAGTTCTGCCCACACACTGCTTCTGAGGCCTCCCTGGAGCGTGCTGACCCCCTGGCCTCTCCTCCCAGCATGGTGGCCGTCTCCAGCCCTCTCTAGTGCCTTCGGTCCTGTGCAATCCCTCTGTCTCTCCAGCAAGAGATCTCCCTCCTGAGCTCAGCTGCACTGTCTCCTCCACCTTCCCAGCCTATTTCCTTCTCGGCTCTGCCCTCCCTCCTCCCGTGGTCCCCTTTCCTCCCTCCCTGCAGTCTCACTGCTCAGGGTCTTTTCTCTGCCGCTGTTACTTCCATCGCCTCCACGCCTCCTCCGGCCTCACCCTGAGCCCTTCCCTTCTCAGTGTCCCCCCCTCTGCCACTACCTGTCCATCCCTATTCCTTCCTCCTCACCTCTCTTCATAACTCATAAAGCCACTCTGAAGCCTTCTTTGACTGTCAAGGACATTAAGGACTGCACCCTGGCTTGAGTTGGTTAAATCCCAGGCGTTAACCACCTTCCTAGCAGACCACTTAAGTCCTGAGCCCTGACATTGAACTGCCTTCTCTAGTGGAATCTCTGTTTGTTTACAAGGTTTGTCCAGAAATGAGCTGAGCTTCTAACCCCATTTAAGTAAATAATAAGCTTTGAAATTCATTAAATTTCACTCAGAAGGTCACTCTTGCTCCCACACAGGCAGAGGTTACAGTGCCCAGGACAGCTGCTCAGGAATGTGGAGGAGAATGCATGGGCACCAGTGTGCCTCCTCTCCATCACCTGCAGACAGAGTGCATCTGTCCAGGTCCCTCCTGCCAGGCTGGCAGGTGCTGTGACCAGGGAAAAGGTCAGCAGGCAGGAGCTAGTTCTGCAAGGTGACGTCTGGTGAGCTCTGCGTGTTTAGAGCAGCTGACAGTGCAACCTCACAAATGCTCAGAGCTTACTTTGTGAATTCTATCACCTTTCTATCCTGTTCAGAGAAAACTGCCAACACGAATGGAGTGTTTAGCAAGTGCCAGGCACCCTGCTAGCACTGTATATATATTAGCTCATTTAGTCCTCACATCTAGATGAGCAAATTGAAGCCCGCAGAAGTTAAGTGAATTGCTCTAGATCAAAGATTGGTTAATGGCAGTGGGGGCTGCTGACTCCCAAGTTCATGCTCAGAATGATTAAGCCTTTCACACCTGACTACTGTTGTCTCTCAGTTTTTCCCCCTTATTTTTGACAACTGATAAAATGATCTGATTTTAATCCAGATCCTTGGCTCCTCCCACCCTACAATCCCCTCTCTCAAATGCCTCCCTTTCCCCACCA